AAATTAATTTTTTTTTAATATTAAGACATTAATTTTGCTACCGTTGAAAAAGAAGATTTCTGAAACTACGGAAATTCCGTAGCAGTTGGAGGGTATGTTTCTGCATCAAACTGTTCCTATTAATTGTTTGGAAAGATTCTTTCAACCTATTTCCCGAAGTTCCATTTAATGACAACAAATATCGAATATATCTTTTCACCTACACAGAAAACCGCAAACGTTACATCGCGAGAAAAACCATGAAAACCTTTTATGATTAGCCCAACGGTAAAGTGATTTAACGCATGACCCATTTACAGGGATGATATTTTATTTAAAATTTCTGGTCGGTGAAGCCGGGAGTAGAACCCATATAAACCAGTCATCGAACCCAGGAAACCTCATTGGAGGGGAAATTCTTTTTTTTAATTTTATTTATTTTTTATTTTATTTTGCTGAGTCCACGTGACTCCTTTTACAATTTTATTTTATAACCATCGTTGAACAATCGACCCAATTTTGGACTTACGAACTTACTCATGATCCGTCTGCCACTGCGGATAATTTACGCCAGCACTGTGATCGATGCGAGCTAGGTGTGGAATTCGAATCGACTAGCCATCACCGGGATTCGAACCTTGTTCACCTCATTGGAAGGCGAGCACTCTATCCCCTGAACCATCACGGCATTAAAACTATGTCTTACATATTGCCTTTAAATATACCAACTGTGCAATTTTCCTATTAATTTTTTAGTAGTAACATATTTAAACACGCCGTGAATAACTGGAACTGTGAGTAACAATTAAGTATAAAACTATACTTCGCAAGTATAAAACTATATTAAGTATAAAACTATACTTAAAGTTGGTAAAGAGGAAAAGCCAACATGAGAGAAAAAATATAATTAATTGATCAGATCTTAGGGTCCTAATCAGCCACTTAGCAAAGCAAAAATTTTCAACGCCCTTTAATAAAGAAGTATTTAAATTCTTTTTTGCAAATTGTTTACTAGATTTGATATGATAATTTTTTTATACTGTTAAGTGTTATTAACTAATTATCCCACATAAACATTAATTTCGTGGCTAATTGTTCCTTACTATAAGGCTATAAATTTTTAACAAAAAATTGCACAACAGTTTGTTTTTCAAAAAAAGATAAAAGCGTTGAAATTCAGAAGTAAATCCTATTCGGTTGCGAAGAAATATTTACAAAAGTTGAAGTATTTGGGACGTTTTCGTTTTGTAAATTTTTCTCTAAGGCCATATTGAGAAGACACATTTTAGCTTGATCATTAATTTTTTTTTCCAATGCTCACCTTGATAATGGCCTAGGCCATACAGGCACCTGGCAGATTTGTTGGCTACTCTTTCATGGGTACCTTATTAGGTGGGCCAACGTTGCTCCTTCAGTAAGGACCGATAGTACAGAGAAAGAAAGAACTTCCATGCCTTGTCCGTGATTCGAACCCATAACCTCTCTGATGCAACGGTAATTCCCTAACTCTTACACAGGCCGGTCGGCGCTTGATCTTTAAATAACGTAAATAAAAATTGCAATTTCTAATTCTTTTCAAAATAACGTGGTTCAAGAAAATAAAGCTACTTTAAGTAATAAAAAGCTACTTTAAGTAATAATTAGGTTCAATGTGATGTCAAAGTCATAAACTCAGCTAATACGGTGAAATGCAGGAATTTTAAAATTTTTCATTTTTTTTTTAAATGATTCCGTCTTTGAAATGTTTGATACCTTCTTTTTTCCTGATATAAATCGTTAGGATAAAATAAGAACAAAAGCAACTAAAAATTTATCATGGAAAATAATATTTGGAGAATAATTTCTCCATAATGAACCATCTTTAGAAATGAAAAAGAAAATATTTTGATTTACTCGTATATGGAGACATATACAAATAAAGTATTATTTTTTTTTTCTTCAATTTTTGGCATCCCTTTCTCTCCCCCCTCACTCCTAGTCACAAAAATCAAGCAAATCTTATCCTATGATTACGTAAGAAAGTAACAACACACCACCTGGATCTAACTTTGAGTTTTCCTGAAGTAATATAATTTTAGCTAAAAACATTAGGTAGGGTATTTCAATTGATTTTATAAAAGTTTGGGAAGAATATTCTTTAGAAATATTTCCTGATTTTCTTGAAATGGTTATAAATGGTAACATAAAAGCGATTTGTGTCCAACTTTTTCCTTATTCGTACTGAACTTCTGTTTTAAATGTGAAGTAATTTTAATTGTAATTTTCCCTCAATCATTGTTCTACTTTTTATTTTTTTTTTAATTTTTAAAAATGCCTTACGTAGGCGTTGCTCGTTTCCCGCGTGCTACTTGTCACAAAAAAGAAAGTAAATCACAAATCTACATCCTACTTATGTCATAAAGTTTGAAAGGTCCCTATGAAGCCGGGATGAGTCAGGGGATAGAGCGTTCGCCTTTCAGTGAGATGAACCGGGGTTCGATCCCGGCGATAACTGGTCGATACGAATTCCGCATCCCGCTTGCACTGACCACTGTGCTGACGTGATATATCCTCAGTGGTAGACAGATCGTGGGTTAGATTCCCCTTGCCGTCTGGCTAACCATGGGAGGTTCTCGTGTTCTTCCTCTCCATATAACGCAAATGGGGGTTTGTTCCTTCAGAGTCTTCCAACAAGGCAAATTTCTCCCAATACTTGATCCAGGAGTTTCCTTGTCTTCTGGATTGGGTTCGAAATTACGAGGCTATGGAATTGAACATTTGTATTCGTAAACCCCAAAATTGAGTCGGCTGTTCAACGACGATTATAAAATAAAATATAAAATAGAAAGGTTTCTATAGTGTTGCATAAATATTTATATAATTTTAACCAATGTGTCGTGTTTCTTCAGATTTTGGACACTCTATGGTATACAAATCCATCTAAGAGTCGATGTCTTAAATTATTAAAAGTAAGTTCATGCAAAATATAATCTTCATATTCTTAATTAACCGGCATTTACATAAGTTTTCAAAAAAATAAAAAGAATACGCAATAAAGATATATATTAATAGCGAACATAATTTCGTATACATAAAAGAAATTACATTTAAGACTTGCCACATATCTGGAAAGACAACATATATTGACGACATAAAAAAACTGTATTTTTAGTCAAGAAAATGTATGAGACTTTCTAATTATGTTAAAACCATTTTTTAAAAAAACAAGAAATTTCATAACGGAAAAAAGCCGCGATATAAGCAGATTAAAATAGTTATTTTTTCTGCTGAAAGCATTTAATATCTTGACGTAGACTTAAGAAAAATAGGTTAAAAAACTTTAATCATTGAATTATAAATAACAATTGTAACTTTAGCGTCGTGATAGGGAATAAGGTTTTCTAATAATGATAATAAAACCATTTCGTGATTCATCCCCTGTAGTATTAAATAATTTAAGTTTTATTGAAATGTCTCGATAAAAAATGGTACATTCTCCAATTAAAATAAAGCTGTTTCTAAATAAATTGCAATGTAGCGAATAATAAAATTAATTGAACTTAATACTATCATANCTTGAAATATGAAACGATTCATCTTTCGACTAACAAGTCTTACGAAAAATGGTGAATAGCACTTTTGGGATTCGTTTTCAGATTTCACAAATCAAGTCGCATCGAGGTATTATGAAATAAAAATATCAAATTGAATTTAGTGAATAATTTCTTAAACATACAAAAATTGTTTGTCTTTTGAACAAGCAGTAATAATGCTCTTAGTACCATTTACAACATTTAATCAGGCAAACAATAAATAAATTCCGTGCTGATAGAGAAGCACAAGAAAAGGAAATGTGTAAATATGACGCTTAATGGAAAGTAAACGTTTTAATGTATAAGAAGTATAACAGAGTAAGAGTAAAGCATAAAAAGTTATAAACATATAAGAAAAATAAATTTGAAACAAATTACATGATGAAAAGAAACACGTAAAATCTATTGCGTATAGCACGTAAAAGTAAAAGGAAGGCATAAGGAAAATTAACCCATAAAATTGCCCGCTAAAGAAAAGTGAAGCACGGAAAATTTAAAAAAGAAAAATAACGCTTAAAACTTAATTAAAATTTTTACAAAGAAAAATAAATGCCTAAAAACTATGCGTAAAGTAACGCGCTAAAAAGTAAGTTATAAGAATGATATGCACGCAAAAGTAACGCAAGAGAAAATAAACGCGTTAATTTAGAGCTGAGGAAATGTGAACGCATAAAAGATACGTAGAAAAGAGGAAAAAATAATGCGTGGACAAGAAAACTCGAAAAAATAACACGTTACAAAAAGTAAAGCATAAAATATTTTTTTAAAAAATCTATAAATGATATATATAGTACGTAAAGTAAGCCTTACGCTTTACTTTTTTTGTAAAGCCTAAAATTTGCGAAAATTATTAAAAACCCATCAGAGTAAAAAGATGCATAATAAAATTTATTTAAAACCGCTTAATTAAACACTCTAAAGCAGTGGTTCCCTACCTGGGGGCGATCGCCCCAAAGGGGGCGATAGAGCTCCTCATGGGGGCGATAATCCTTAGGGGGGCGACGAGTATTCAAAAGATAAAAATTGCTAATAATATTAATGACAAAAGCTATTTGAGATCGAAATTGAAAACATATATGAATCTTATGGTTCTGGTGTAGATAAAGAATTACGATAGTTAAAAAATAAAAAATTTCACGTTCAGGATCGTTTTCGTCATACGTTTTGGTATCGCTGGCGGAAATCTGACCTTCAAGAATTCTCTTTTGTTGAAAGTCATGGTTTTTTATATAACTTCTTCTCCTCAAATGTTCCTCTCTCGTCTCATTCCCATCCCTCCGATTTTAAAAGGCATGTAATAGGAGAAACGGATTGATAGACGAAACATTTATATAACTCTAAACCTCTCACAGTTGGTAAACTCGTATTTTACCTGCTACTAAAAAAAATTTTGAAATCATGTTAGGTGAGGGATAGAGCAATAATACTGTTTCCAGGCTTATTGATGAGATGGCCGCAGACGTTGAATCAAAACTCATCAAATTTATGAGAGAAGGTAAATTTGCTTTGCAGATTGATGACTCAACTGTGATAGATAACAAAGCTATTGTATTAGCTTACGTGAGATTCATAAATGAGAGTGAGGAGATTGGATGAACGAGGAAATGTTGTTTACAAGAACTTTGATCACTGATACAAAATGATCGTAGATTTTTAAATTGGTCAAAGACTATTTTGTGGAAAAAGAAATTACCCTTACAGATGTAAGTGCTTGTGCGACAGATGGTGCTCCTGCCATGTCTGGTCGTCATACTGGGCTTCTAGCGCACCTTAAAAAAGAAGTACCGGCGGTCATCACCATTCATTGTGTCATTCATTGTCAACATTTTTCTGCAAAACAGTTGAGTGGTGCCCTGCATGACACTTTACAATTCGTTATTTCTGGCATCAATAAAATCAAAGCTGATTCTCTCAATGGCCGTTTGTTCCGAGAACTTTGCCGTGAAAATGATGAAGCTCCTACATACAGATGTGAGATGGCTTTCAAATGGAAACTGTTTGCATCGTTTTTTCGAATCGTTTGACTCGGTTACTGAGTTTCTCGACACCACTGATCCTGTCTTAAGTGAGAGTTTGAAGCAACGCAAGTTGGAAACTTCGTAACTCACGGATATTTTTGAAAAAATGTACGAAATCAACGTAAAACTTCAAGGAAATAAAATGAACATTATCAAGGCTAAGGGAATCATATCTTCATTCATCGCCAAGTTTGATATCTACGAGTCAAACATTGGTCGCAAAGAGCTAATGCAATTTCCACCTCCTAGAAAGTGTTCAATGGCAGATATCGAGATTCTCGAAAATAAAAGCTTAATTTTTACTGATCACCTTGACCAGTTAAAAACTTATATCGAATCAAGATTTAAAGATTTGATGAAATTAGAAATTCCGGATTGCATTTTCGATCCTTTCTCTTTTGAAGTTGTGGATAAGCTCACTTCCTCTTTGCAAACTGAGTTTTTAGATTTGAAGTATGCTAAAGTCGTCTTTAAAAAATACGGTTACGAGTTAGCTTGGGTAAAGCTTATGGACACTTATCCACAATTGTGGAAGCAAACTGAGCCGCTTCTCATCTCGTTACCGTCAACATATTTAATGGAGAGAGGATTTAGTTCCGTCGTCCAGCTCCTCACAAAGCAAAGAAATAGGTTGGACATTTGCTTCAAGGGAGACCTGTGACCTGCGTTTAAATCTGACGATGACATTCAAGCTTTACCTGAAATACACCAAATACAGGGCAGTTATTGAAGTGGTAAAAATGTACTTTCTCACTCTTCTTTTTTTTCTCAAATTTTAGTTGCTAACGTTTTAACTTTTTCTTGATCACATTAAAATATGAATTTTAATGTGATCAAGAAATTGTAATTTTAAAAAAATTACTTTTGTTTTGATTATTCCGTTTTAAATATAATTTCTTTTTGAAAAAAAAAGATGCACAATTTTTTTTAATTAATAAAAATGGCAGGATAAAATTGCCTCCTTATTTGCATTACAATTTAAATTAAAATCAAATATAACTTAGCGTTTGGCTGCTCACAAGCAGCAATGAATGGTTTTTGAGCAAAAAGAAAAAGGGGGGCGATGTGTGTCAGCCAACCCCAAGAGGGGGGCGATGGTCCAAAAAAGGTTGGGAGCCACTGTTCTAAAGTTACGCTTTAGAAAGTAGAGACTTAAATATAAAGCGTATTAAAATATTAAGTGACGGAAGTAGAACAATAGTTATAGATAGAACAATAGTTTTAAATAGTTTAATTTTTCCAAGTTTGCTTCCGATCTTCTAGGAAATGAATAATTTTTAACACTTTATGGCAAGGTTTTTTTAATACAACATGTTTTAGTTTTTATAGGATTATTTTGCTCAGTAGTCCGAGTCATTAGGACCGGTTTGGATGATTTAAACATGGATAATCGAGTTTGGGAACTGCTGTACATATTTAGATGCCGATCAATCGAATCGGATCACATTTGAAGACTCTAAAACGTTTGCTGTAAGTATAGCATTTTCGTTCGGTTTCATTTTTTTTAACTGCTTTTGAAAACTGCAGACAATAAATTAAACTATTTATATACTTTTTTAACCGATTTTTTGCAACCTTAGGCAGCAAAATAGCTTACTTCTGACCATTCTTGCATGGGTGGAAATCCAAGATGATTGTCTGTATTATTCTGTTCTGATAAAATCTGCTCTAGTTCAAAAATAAATCTTACTTAGTTCCGAGAAAAATACGTATTCCAAAGAGTTTTATAAAAGTTTAAAGTGCCTGCAGCATTCTCGTTTTTTATATTTTAATAAAGATCAAACTGAGAAAACAAACGATAATGTATTATTTAGTTTAATGAACAATTGAGTAGATAAAAATTGGAATTTCTAATTCTTTTCAAGATAACGTTGTTCCAGAAAATATTAAGCTGAAATGTACTTTCCTTTGTATGTTTGACACCTTTTTCAAATGGTAAGGTTAAGAAATAGTGCGGAAACTACTTAAAAATTATCAAGGGGGGAAATATAGAAATAAATTATTACAATATTAACTTTTTTACATAAAAATTTTTGACTTGATATTTTTCACTGTTAGTGTCACTGAAAATAAGCAAATCACGTCCTATGCTTAAGTGAGAAAGAAACAAAGCACTATCTTGCTCTAATATTAGCTATTCCTGAAGTAATCAAATTTTAGAATTCAAACAAATGAGGTAACTATTCAAAAAATACAATTAGTAGATATTTCAATTCATTTTATAAAAGTTTGTAAATAGTATTCCTTATTTCTGTTTTTTTGTTAAAGTTCCGAAACACATAACAGCAATTATTGTCCAATTTTTTTTCTTTTTTAAAACTTCTTTTTTTAAATTTGAAGTTAATTCAACTGATATTTTATAGGAAAAATTTAAAAGATAGTGATTTAAGTGACTTACGTAAGTATTACTCATAAACTTGTCTCATAAAATTAGTAAATCACAAACCCCCCATCCCCTTTATGTCCTTACAAAGCAATTAAAATATTCCTATAATGTTGCATAAGTGTTTATGTAATAATAATCAATATGTGATATTTTTTCAGCTCTTGAAAACTTCATGAAGGACAAATTCAAACACGACTTGACATCTTAGCTTTTTAAAGGTAAGCAATATAAGGGAAGAGCTTAATAATTTTCGCGGTAATATTATCCAGCATTGATATATATTTTCAAGCAAACAAAAAGAGTATGCAATTAAAAGGAAGTAGGAAACATAAGCTCACCGGACAAAAAATTAGTCACCCAAGCGACAATCACCGCGATGTATCTTTAGGTTTCGTTAGAAGACGCAGTGGTCAAATAATGTGCTCAACTGCTTCAACGCGATCAAAGTCAAGTAGCTATCAGCGAGATAATTTTTCTGAAGTGAAATTATGTGTAAATATAGGTAAGTGTAAGGATGTAATAGAGTGGCAAAACGGAGCAATTGTGTTTGGCCATGCCCATGGTCATAAGGTGAATTAAGTGACTGAATTTTTTGGTTTTTTAATTCTGACTGTTAATGTGTCTACAAGTAGTGGTGTAATACATGTGGTCACGAAAAAGATCCTGCATGAAAGGGATCAGAGACGTGTTTCATGACTTCTCAATCAAAATCACTTCCAAACCCAACAGGAGTTGCTTAAGTAAGTAAATGAAGGTCCATTCCAAACTGTCAGTGAGAAAACGTTGCGTCGGGAGCTGCGTGCATTGAACATTTGGAGTCGAACCTCTTGTAAGAGGCCATTGCTCGCTAAGGCACTTGTAGACTGGCCGAATGAATTGTGGTATGGCGAATCACGTTTTTGCCTTTATTCAAAAGGCGCATGTCATCGAGTACAACGGAGAGCAGATGAAGTATTTCATCCTGACTGTGCGCAAGGTCAGTTTCAAGCAGAAGGTGAGTCTGTCATGTTTTGGGGGAGTTTTTCTTATTATGAATGGGGCTCCCTCACTAAGGAGGCCACTAACACGAGCCAGCATGTTTGAGTATTCCGGATAATCAGATGATGCCTTTCAGTCAACATCTTTATGAAAAGAGTGTGCCGACATCCCTATTTTTCAAGATGACAACAGCAAAGTTCATAGGGCTGGAAGAATATGTGACTGATTTTATGAACGAACACTCAGACACTCAAATGCATCTCGTATGGCATGCAAAGTTACCCGAGTTCAACCCCATTGAAAATTTGTGGGACATGTTGGAACAACGGGTAAAACGCCGAAATCAGCATCCTCGCAATTTGGTGGATTTGTGCAGTTAAATCCTCAGCGAGAGTCTTGAACTGAATTCGACGTACCTGCAAAACCTTGTGGAACTCACTTCCGAACCGAATCCTAGTCGTTATCGAATCGATCAGATGAAGCGGTGTTACATGCTATAAAAAGATGTTTTTCATGATTTCACAAAGGTTGACTAATTTTTTGTCCGGTGTGATTAGTTTCGTATACTGAAAAGAAATTGCACTAAGACTTAAAACATTTTTAACAATAAGACAGCAAATTCTTCAGAATCAAAACAAAAAAACAGTAGTTTCGTCCAGAAAATATTTGAATCTTTTTAAACGTGTAAAGGTCATTTTTGAAAACATGGTAAAATTAAACATAATAATGATAAAATGATGATAAAATTAAACATAACTTTTTATGCGAAAGAAAAATAAATGCGTGAAGAAAGCGAAAAAAAAACTCATAAGAGAAATAAAGCAGATATTGTGTTAATTGATGAAAAAAACAAATATAGCGGGAAAAATAATGTATAAAAAAGTAAACGTGAAAATAAAACGCTTAAGAAGAGGAAAAGCGTAAATATAGGGCGTAAAAAAATAATAACGTATTATGTACGGTAAAGGATAGCGAAATAAATAAAAGCAATGCGTAAAATTAATTATAAGAAAAGGAAACAAAAGTATGACATGAAGAAAAAAAAACATAAAGCAGAG